CCCAAGATACGCACTGAGGACCCCGAGAAACCGCTGTACTTCAAAGGTGGGAGCCCTCCAAACGGCCGAGCATAGATCGGAACAGTGGAACTCAAGAGCTAGCTCAGGGCAGCAGGCTCAGGCCCATGGCTCAGGTTCACGAAAGTTGGAGTAGCTGCCAAGACGGGCAGGAAGGCCCGCGGCCGCCGCGGCCAGGCCGTGAAGCCGCCCTCCGACTCCGCCAAGGCGGTCTGCGCGACGGCGCCCCTGGGCTACCTCGGCCCGCTCGGTTTCTGCCAGGCCGACGACCACGAGGGCTGCCGCAAGTTCAGAACAGAAGCTCCGAGCTGAAGCACGGGCGCACGGACATGGCTGCCGCCTTCGGGACCGCTTGCCAACACTTCGTGCCCTGGGTGTCGAGGGCACTCCTGCCGGGCTCGGGGCGCGCACGGACCCCCCTGGCGTGCTCGGGCTCGTGCCTCGTCCTTCCCACCTCCGCGCTCGTACGAACCGTGCACTGGAAGGACGACGACCTGGCCATGGAACGGGACAGCGTCGGGGGCACGGGCGACTGGGCGGGGCTTCTCGGCGCCGGACGGCGGCTACAGCGACGAGGTCCGGAACAAGCGATGTTCTCGGTGGTAGGCATCCTGGTGGCGGAGATCGCCACTGGTTAGGACGTTAGCCAGCAGTTGAGCCTCTGAGCACGGCGCCTGGAGCTGCAGCCGTTACAGCGGCAGCATCTGAGCGCTGAGCGCGGCGCCGCACGGCTGAGAGGCCTCCACCAGAATTGTGCAGACCCCGCCGGCGAGTACAGAATTCTCGGGCGGTTTCCTTCAATACGCCGAGAGCCGAGGTATGCGGCCGAGCGCTGGCGGCTAAGAGGCTGGGCCGGCTCGCAGCAGTGCCATCTCAGACACGGAAGCGCTCAGCTGGTCTCAGACAGACGCCGGCGGGCGTCCCAAGCACAGTCTCGGGGGACTTGCGCCCTCGTTCTTCCGCGACCCCGAGCGTGCGGGGTAGCACCGCCGTCATTATGACTGCCTGCAACCTCCAAGGCAGATTTCCGTAGCGCAGCCTGGCGACCTTCTACCCCTAATGCTCCTTATCCGACGCAGCTTCCTCGTACATCTCCCAAGCCACCTCCTCCTCCTCCTCCTCGTCCCCCACATCCGTCTCTCATTCCCTCTCCCCGTACTCCATCTCCCTCTCTGTCATCCGCTTCCTCCTCATGTGACTTCCTCCACCCCTTCCTCTTCCTCCTCCTTTTCCTCGTTCTTCTCCTTCCATCCCTCTTTGGCGGCGCGCACAAGGGGGCAGGGGGAGGGAGGAAGGCTTCTTAGCAGGAGGCTGCTTCTTAGGAGGCGCGGGCCTTACATCTACAGACAAGGCCCACGCCTTCTCAGAAGCAAGGGTGCTTCTAAGAAGCCTTCCCCCCTCCGCCAAGCCCCCTCTGCAAGTGGACGAGTACGGTGCCTTCTGCGTACGCTCACGTTTTCATGTGCCTTCGCTGTTGTCACGAAGGGACGCAGATCGGACAGCTGGCCGGGAGTGGCCCCAGACGGGCCCACGGACTCGTTCTGAGCAGATTCTGCCGGAGGGCGAAGCAGGGGGCGGCCTTCTGAACATGTCGGCCCAGGGCTGCCCGGCACCGAGGCCTGCCCGAGGGTACGGCGAGGGCATTGGTACGGAACCACTGGATGAGGACTCAGGGTCTGAAAGCCGGTGAAGCTCCAATCGTGGACTGGCCATGCATAGCACTGCCGCCCTCATCCAAGGCGTAAGTCGGGCCTGTCCCCCTACAGGGGTGATTTTCGACGAAAAAAAATACACTAAAAATGATCCAAAAATAGTCCAAATATAGTATGGGGACTATTTGTTTTATATTTTTTGACCTTCTTGGGGCATTTTTGGTATATATTTCTTAAATTTTCATCGAAAATCTCCCTGTAGGGGGACACGCCCGACATAAATCCAAGGCCAGAAGCCTCCTGGGCACATTCCTCAACATGGGGAGGCGCCAGGCTTGGGCCTGACCCCCGAGGCTCGAAAGGGAGAGAGCTTCGGGCGCGGCCCGACCAACCCCTGGCAGAAACCGTCCCCTTCCGTGGCGTCATCCTCGCCGTTCAACTAGGGCTCCCAACTTCGCGCTTCGCGCTCCGCGAAGCGCGAATCACTTCGCGCTCTCGCGCCGCCCCCCCAAAGGGAGAGAAGGAGGACGAGGAGGAGGGGGAGAAGGAATAGGACCGCGGAGCGCGGAGCGCGAATCACTTCGCGCCCTCGTGGGAGCCCTTGTTTCGAGCTCCCCTCCGGCCGATAGAGAGCCCCCCGGGGCCAGAACTAAGTCGGGCGTGTCCCCCATACAGGGGGATCTTCGACGAAAAATACCCAATGTTTAAAAGATATTCCAAAATGGTCCAAGAGCATTCCAAACGTAATCCCCAGACTATTTTGTCACTATTTTTGAACACTCCTCCTGTAGAGGGACAAGCCCGACGTAAGGCCAGAGGCCTCCCGGGCACGCTCCTCGGCCACCGCCCCCGGCCGCAGCAGGCGAGGCCCGTGCCCGAGGGTGCGGCGGGGAGGCGAGGGCGGGGGGGGCACGGGGAGCCGGGCCACGGTGCGCGAGAGCCACCCGCCGCCGTGCAGGCAAACTGGAGGCTGGGAGGAGGCGCAGTGGAGAAGCGCGAGAGGAGGAGGAGGACGAGGAGGAGGAGGAGGAGGAGGAGGAGGAGGAGGAGGAGGAGGAGGAGGAGGAGGAGGAGGAGAGAGAGGAGGAGGAGAGGAGGAGGAGGAGGAGGAGGAGAGGAGGAGGAGAGGAGGAGGAGGAGGAGTAGGAGGGAGGAGGATCGAGGAGGAGGACCGAGGAGGAGGAAAATCGAGAAGGAGGGGGCCCCCCTCCTGGACGCCCCCCTCCTGGACGCCCCCGAAGAGCGCTGGCGGGGGGGGTGTGAGAAGGGGAGGATGACCGAGCGGGAGACTGGAATAGACGAAGAGAGAGAGAGAGAGAGAGAGAATACATACACACACACACACAACAAAAACAAGAAAGACGGGGGCACGAGCAGGGGAAGGGACGAAGTGCAGGAAGAGAAGAAGAGACGAGCGTCCGAATCTAGACAGAGAGAGAGAGAGAAAGAGAGGACGGTAGGAAGGGACATATATGTGCAGGAGAGGGAGACAGGGCGCTAGGACGAGAGCAAGCACTCGATGGAGACATGAAGATCGGGACAGATGACGATGGGAATACAAGAGAAGAGCGGAAAGAAGGGAATCTGACGAGAGGAAGGCAGGAGAAAGAGGAGGAAGACGAAGGGAGGGCGGAGCGTGGGGGGCGGGGGGGGGGGGCACCTGCGACTCCTCCCAGAGGAGGACGGAGGATGCCGAGACCGAGTGCGCACAGGGGGGAGCCCCTGCCACGGCGACGAGCTGCAGCAGCACGCCGCGCGCGACCACGACGCCCCGGTCCGTCCTGTCGGCCCATCGGCCCAGCGCGGGCCCCAGGAACATGGATCGGGTCGGGCGAAAGGGGGGGATAGCAAAGGGGGGGCTTGAGAATCAGCTCACGCAGCTGATTTTCCCGGCGCCTCCCGGCGCCGGGAGCCGCCATGCATCGAGGAATGGGCCCCTCGGTGAGGCCGAGACCAGCTGCATGCAGCAAATTTCGTGACCCCCCCTTTCCCCATCCCCCCCTTTCGCCCGGCCCGAAATGGAGGCCAGCGACGTGGCCACGCCCCAGAAGCCCGGCCCCAGGAGGGGGTGGCCGGGCGAGAAGCCCGTGAGCACCAGCGGGGCGACGGGAGAGGAGCAGGAAAGAGCGGCGTGAGAGCACGGGCCTTCGGAGGTCCGCGCGGAGGTCTCGGGTCGGCGCTGGACCCCACCCCGCCTCCTCCTCCTCCTCCTCCTCCTCCTCCTCCTCCTCCTCCTCCTCCTCCTCCTCCTCCTCCTCCTCCTCCTCCTCCTCCTCCTCCTCCTCCTTTCCTCTCTCCTCCTCCCTCCTCTCTCCTCCTCCTCCTCCTCCTCCTCCTCCCTCCTCCTCCTCCTCCTCCTCTCCTCCTCCTCCTCCTCCTCCTCCTCCTCCTCCTCCTCCTCCTCCTCCTCCTCCTCCTACCTCCCTCCTCCTCCTCCTCCTCCTCTCCTCCTCCTCCTCCTCCTCCTCCTCCTCCTCCTCCTCCTCCTCCTCCTCCTCCTCCCTCCTCCTCCTCCTCCTCCTCCTCCTCCTCCTCCTCCCTCCTCCTCCTCCTCCTCCTCCTCCTCCTCCTCCTCCTCCTCCTCCTCCTCCTCCTCCTCCTCCTCCTCCTCCTCCTCCTCCTCCTCCTCCCCCCCTCCTCCTCCTCCTCCTCCTCCTCCTCCTCCTCCTCCTCCTCTCTCCTCCTCCTCCTCCTCCTCCTCCTCCTCCTCCTCCTCCTCCTCCTCCTCCCCTGGCGCGCGACGCGCGCCACGGGCGGCGCCGGAGGCGCCGCCAGGTGGGGCCAGCGCCGACCGAAGATATCCGCGGGGACCTGCGAAAGGCTATGCTCGTGCCGCTGTTTGTGCTTCTAGCTGAAGAGCCAGCCCTGGGTGCCGAGCCTCACGCAACCGAATGTGGGAACACTACCCCCGCAGGCCAGAAGTACGAAAAAACCGCTGGGGGCGAGAATCTGGAGGATGCCTGCAGCAAAGTGAACCCTGCGGGGTGTCCTGTACCCCGGGTCGAGTGGATCCGCAGGGGGGCACA